ACAACATTGTTCTCTCAGGTTTTTTTGTTCTATTTGTTTAAACGATTATGTTAACTATATATGAAAAAAAATTCTACAAAGAAACAAATCAGAATATAAAAATGAACGATTCAATTATGGATTTGTAAATTTGAATAAATAATAGACTTGTTTTTTTCTAAGAAAAAGAATTATCGATACATTCGGCTATGTTATATAATACTTGAAATTTTAACCGACAATTCTTTGTATCGACTGTGTTTATGTAATGAATATATAAAGCAAGATTTTTGAGCTTATTTTGTTTTTATAGATTGTTATAAATAAAATATAAAAAAAAGTGCAACGTATTACTATTTGACATGTGTGTCTGATAAATTGAAGACAATATCTTATTTATTCAAATCAATAGAAACAAGAAAAGAAATAAAATTTTACTTATAATATGACATGTTATTTAAGAATCTACTCAATGGATTATTATTATTATTTTTTTCAAATTATCAACATATGTATGAGTCTCTCTTTTAATGATAAGAGTATATGTACTTATTTTTCCAATTAATTATCTGAATGTAAAAATAAAGATAAATCAATAAATGAGTCTATAAAAATGCAAATATCTTTTTAATATGAATTTTTTTTTTCAAAAATAATCTTTTGAATAGAATATCTAAACGATATTTATTATGGATATGATACGCTATGCCTCTGTAATTTATGGTTGAATGCATATGAAGAACCATTACCATGAACGCTTCGGAAGAACGATAAATGGACGAGATATACTGTGAAGGTAAGAAGAAAATGAGCGTCAGTATCTCTTTGATTGCCTCCTTGTATACATGTATATATATTTGACAAGGCTTCTTACACATACATATACATTTGTATATTTAAAAACTGTACGCAATCAAGTCACGACTTATAACCTTCCGAATATATATTTGTTGGAATAATGGCTAAAGAGGCCTCTCGTACAGAACTTTCATCATCCGATTATGAAGATGAAACATCATCTTATTCTGATAATCAACAGAAAAACTTACCACCTGTAGCAGCTAAAAAAGATTCTATTAAAAATTATGTTGCAAATCTATTAAATAGACATGGAATACGTACTGAACAACAACCTGATTTAACAGAAACTCAAATACATATTGATACACAAGATAGTAGATATGCTGATTATGAAAATATATCTGCTTTTCGACAATATCATTCCAATGCAGAAGGTATGGCAAGAACTGGTTCTCAACGACGACGAGAATTTATTAGTGATGATGATAATGATTTAAGAGATCATACATCAAATGAACAAGTGAGACAAATATTTTTAAAAAATTGAATTTTGAATTATTTTTATTTTTAATTAGTCCGATGAAGCAGGTCCAGAATTGAATTTAGATCCAAATCCAATTATTGAAGAACGTGAAAGTGTTGAACAAAGATATAAACAAAAAGTTTATTTACGTCAATTACAACCACCTACTCCACAACCAGTTGAAATTCAAGTACAAGAAGTTTTAATTCCAGGACAAACACCAAAACCACCTATACATGTTCGTGTTGGTAAACGTGAACCTCGAACTCCATCACCAATTGTTATTAAAACTGCACCTCCACAACCTCCACTAATTGACTCTGATCAACCAATTGTTTATAATAAATATGTTCCACCACCTAAACAACCTCCACAACAAGTATTATCTTTTTTTTCTTCTATTTATTCAATTAATATTTTCTTTTTAGATCATTATTCATCGTCATCCTGATTTACCACCGAAACCACGTATGAACTCTTTTTCTTTTTTTAATTTTTGTCTCAAAATCAATTATTTGTTTTTTTCTTATTAAGGTCCTATTGTTGTTGAACAATGGTTACCATATAAACCAGCACCAAAACGTATTATTAAACATTCATTACCACCAGAAGCTCTTCAAACTCCCCCACCTCCACATAATATTATTGTTTCATATGCTAAACCACGTGCTTTAATTGAAGTTGAACTTGTTCGTTTACCAATTGTTAAAATTGATCCTTATACATATCAACAGATGAGTGCTGGTGGTCATCAACAATTAGCACAACATCCATCATTTCAACATGAACAGATTTTCTTATCAGGAGATCGATTAGTACATGCACCTTATCCATCCGATGAAATCAATTGGCGTATTTAAATTGAAATTTAAAGAAAATTCTCATTCGTTTTATTGTTATTTTTTTAATATTTATTTCAAAAAAAAATAGTATTATACTCAAAGATAAATTGAATATTGATAACATTTCTTACTTTCAAATATTATAAAAAATCAAACAACAATCTTATTGACTTTTAGTATATATATATTGACACTGAACTTGTTTTATGTGAATATTAAAAATCAAAATTTAGAAATTTTCAATAGCTGGACGGGTACATGACAAGTAATCAAATATTAGACAATATCTTTGTCTATCTCATGCGCTATATTTGCTAAATATCAATATATACAACACAGCTATTCTATTGAATTACATAAATAAATCTTTTATTACTTAATCAACTATAGCTAACAGTATGTGCACATAATTCATTCAGATGTCCTGGAATTTTAAAGTGATTTATAAAATTTTATACTTTAATCTAAATATTAATTACTTTAGTATAATCATCAAATACATTTAGAAATAATTTTTTAAATACCAACTAATATCTATAAAGAGAACGATTTTTACTAAAAAGAAGTTGAATATAGAGGTATATACAAGAAAAACTCATAAATAAATGTACTTAATATACTGATACACATATAAGTCATCGGTAAATAAAAAAAGCCATTAGATCTTGACAAAAGACTCTTTCAAAAGAATGTCTAACAACATAAAGACGTTTATCCTTATTTGAATTGATTAGATAATCGTTGCATATAAATATATTTTCAATGATTATATTACAAATCTGTGAATAAGATCAATTAATATTCATTTCTAAACACTAAATAATCAAATCTGAATTATTTTTTGATATCCTATACTCAATGAAATATGATCCTAATACACATATTAAAATCTTATTAATAAGAAAAAGCTATTGATATTTGTAAATTATAAATTTAACAGAAAAGATAAATGATGTCATTTTCAAATAGTTTTGATGACGAAGAGAAAAACGAAAAGAAATATTCTTTAGATGTAATTGTGTTAAAATAAATAGAAATTTTTCTTTTTCGTTCTTATTTTTTCTTACAATGCATAGGATAAAAGAATCTCTTGTTAACAATTTTCTTTCTTCGTTGATTATAATGTCTTGCTACATGGAATATTAAACATTATCTTTGGCGCGTTTTCATCTTTCATTAGATTTTTATTCATACTACATAAGTATTTAAAACAATATAAAGGTAAAAGATTTCGTTTTGAACTAGATATCTATTATAGGTTAAGATAATGTCATTTTTTTTATAAACGACCTTGTAATTTTTACTTGTTTTTCTCAAGGTCAATTCAGAACAAGACAAGAGTAAATAGTCAATAAGTGGT